GAGCGATTTGATTTCCTAGGAAATTCTTTCGATAAAATCAGAGGATTTAAAAATTTTACGCCTTCCTTTGCTGATAATTTTAATCTCTCAATAAATTGAAAAAGCAGTGAGGAAAGGGATTTAGTGTCAGTTTAATTTTAACAAATATGGGAAGAGTGCTTGGCCATTTAGAAATATCAGAAACTTTGGGAGAAAGCCAAGTACTCATAAAATCCAGCCTCTCCATAATCCTGTCAGAAATGTTTTAAAGAGGATTTCTTAGAAGGAAGGTTACACTAAATAATCTTTAAGTCCCTTCTGAAACATTAAATGCTGCCTCTAACATTCTGCATTCACAGTGAAGAACTCTAGAGGTGGCCAGCATGGCAACCGAGCAAGCAGTGGCATCCCAGGCTCTGTGGCTATGTGGAAAAGAAACAATAGTGCTGCACACCAGGGACAGTAAAAATGGCATTTACGTCATGTAAACATACCATAGAACTATAAGAACTGAAACAATGTGGTCTTGGAATAAAACTAGATAAATCAGTAGTACAGAATAGATACTTCAGAAACAGACAAATATGCTTAAGAACTTAATTTCAAAAAAAAGGCAGAATTAAGTCAATAAGGGCATGGAAAATAGGGAATATAACAACTTCCAGAGTGGGCAAACCTTTTGTATTTAGAAATGGAATAAAAAACTCATAAATGAAAAATTAAATATAAAAACCATAAAAAAGAACCAACATTAGGAGTCAAAACATGGACTAGATATTTTTAGGAAATATGAAGTCTGAGGAGTAAAATGTTTAACAAATGCCCAAATATAAACCCCTCAAAAATTACCAAGAACCCTAACTGATAAATGGATATGGTGTGAGAATAATTGTTTATAAAAGATAACATATGAATAGAAAATAAAGGGTAAAAAAAAAAACAAGGGTAGTTATAAAATAATTTTAAATAAAATAATAGGATGCCATTTTTTGCATATGAAATTAGTAAGTGTTAAATCCATATGTATATTTTGGGAATTAATTAACAGGAAACTTGAAAATGCTCATTTCTTTTGGCCTACTAGTTCCACATATATGAGTCTATCCAATGGAAATAATTCTAACAGCTAAAAGTCCCATGCATAAAAATGTTCATTGAAATGTTTTAAAGCAAAATGTATTCTTTGCTTTATAAAAAGCAAAAAGGAGGAAGGAAGGAATAAGAGCAAAGGAGTAGGAAGAATATTTAATGTATGCTTACCATATGGCGGTTATATAAATTATCCCATTTACATCTTTGTTTTTGAGATGGAGTTTCGCTCTTGTTACCCAGGCTGGAGTGCCATGGCGCGATCTCGGCTCACCGCAACCTCCGCCTCCTGGGTTCAGGCAATTCTCCTGCCTCAGCCTCCTGAGTAGCTGGGACTACAGGCATGCGCCACCATGCCCAGCTAATTTTTTGTATTTTTAGTAGAGACGGGGTTTCACCATGTTGACCAGGATGGTCTCGATCTCCTGACCTCCTGATCCACCCGCCTCGGCCTTCCAAAGTTCTGGGATTATAGGCTTGAGCCACCGTGCCTGGCCTCCCATTTACATCTTACAACAGTTCCATGAAATAGATATGATCACCATTTTATGGAAGAGGTAAAACGTTTTTGCATGCTCAGAGAGACTTAAGTTCTTTACAGAAACTTGGCTAGTACCAGTGAGAAAAGGAATACAGGCTAACTGTGAATAGCAGACTTGTTAAGTAATCTGGGGAAGACTTCTTTGATGGATTGTTTTTAAATTTTTCATATAAAAGAATACAACGGAAAATGGAATAAGATGGTAAGAATGCATAATAGAAAATGTTATATTCAAGATGATTGAAATACACAGAAAAAAGACTGGAATGAAATACACAAACACTAATGAAACACAACAGAACCTGACCCTGAGATTGTGTCAAGGAATGCAGTTGGCTGGTGGTCCTGAGAACGAAGCAAAGTGCAGTTACATTATCAGCCTGTGTAAATGCTGGAGGGAAGCCCTGAAAGACCCTGAAAGGCTCAATAACAGTTCAAGCAATTGGTTAATACAGGAGATAGAAACAGTAATGTGGGGCAGGTACGGTAAATCTTGTGGAACAGGTAGGGCTGTGATTCTTTTCATGGCAAGTTGCTGGGAAAATCGTAAACTGGTCACAGTTAAAATGTCAGAAGACTCAAAATCACAAGAAAAAATAATGAATTATTGAAGTTTTGGCTTACTCTAGAATTGCACAACATTTTCTGAGAAGTAGGAGGTAAGACGAATGAGTAAGGCAACTTTTGCTCTCTGGATATTTCAGGTAGGCAGCGGGGGAAGCTTGGTGAAAAAACAGAAATCTTCACCCTCCAGTTAGAAGAAAGTATCTGTCTAGGTAAGCTTTAGGGAAAAGGGGCCTGGATAAACACATGTGCCACCATAGAAATGTCATTTATGTACACCCTCCTCCCTGGAGCAGACTCATCTTCAATTGCATGAATCTGACAGCATTTTGAAGAATGTGATATCCTAAATAGAACGTTTTAAAACTCAGCCTTTGTATTTCCTTTGTCTCCCACTTTCCCTGGTCTCTAATCCATTTTCTAATCCATGATCCTCTAAAAAAAGAAACCATATATATTATATATATTATTTTAGTAAATAATATGTATGTGTGTATGTGTATATCTGTATATATATGTGTGTGTATGTGTATGTCTGTATATATATGTGTGTGTATGTGTGTCTGTATATATATATGTGTGTGTATGTGTATGTCTGTATATATATGTGTGTGTATGTGTATGTCCGTATATATATGTGTGTGTACGTGTATGTCCGTATATATATGTGTGTGTACGTGTATGTCCGTATATATATGTGTGTGTGTATGTGTATGTCCGTATATATATGTGTGTGTACGTGTATGTCCGTATATATATGTGTGTGTACGTGTATGTCCGTATATATATGTGTGTGTACGTGTATGTCCGTATATATATGTGTGTGTACGTGTATGTCCGTATATATATGTGTGTGTACGTGTATGTCCGTATATATATGTGTGTGTACGTGTATGTCCGTATATATATGTGTGTGTATGTGTATGTCCGTATATATATGTGTGTGTATGTGTATGTCCGTATATATATGTGTGTGTATGTGTATGTCCGTATATATATGTGTGTGTATGTGTATGTCCGTATATATATGTGTGTGTATGTGTATGTCCGTATATATATGTGTGTGTATGTGTATGTCCGTATATATATGTGTGTGTATGTGTATGTCCGTATATATATATGTGTGTGTATGTGTATGTCCGTATATATATGTGTATGTGTATGTCCGTATATATATGTGTGTGTATGTGTATGTCCGTATATATATGTGTATGTGTATGTCCGTATATATATGTGTGTGTATGTGTATGTCCGTATATATATGTGTGTATGTGTATGTCCGTATATATATGTGTGTATGTGTATGTCCGTATATATATGTGTGTGTATGTGTATGTCCGTATATATATGTGTGTATGTGTATGTCTGTATATATATATGTGTGTATATGTCTGTATATATATATGTGTGTATGTGTATGTCTGTATATATATGTGTGTATGTGTACATCTGTATATATATATGTGTGTATGTGTATATCTGTACACACATATACAGATATACACATACACACATATATATTATTTACTAAAATTAATTTGGAACTTTTCATTTATGGCCACTATTTGACCAAAAAGAAAAACAGCAAAAAACAAATGCTTGGTTGACGCGGCACAAAGTGCACAGGTATGTGGGAGCAGAAATTAGTGACATTCCAAAAGCGATTGGTCTCCACTTCATGAGCACCGTCTACCCTCACCTACCTTGATGGCCAAAGGTAAATTTTTCTTGTGCCATTATAACAATGACTACTGCATAAGGCCTGATTGTCACCTCTCTGCTATAAATTCTCAGAGGGCAGACCACGCCTGTCTTGTTTACTGCTGAGCCCTTGCACCAGGACAGTGGCTCAATGAATATTTGTTGAATGAATGAAAGAGTGGGTGAATATAGAAATCCTACACATCTCCCCAGATTTAGCTCAAGCCCTACCTTCCTGGTAACACCGTTCCTCAGAGCCCCGGTGACTGCTCTCAGGTCACACTGCCAGCCTGCACCACGACTTAACACACCTGATTCTACGCATCATGTTCATGATTGTTTTTCAGGTGTTGGTGTTTTATTTTGTTTCAATTTAGAGAGAAAGACTCTTCAAAGACACTGATAGATAGATAGATGATAGATAGATAGATAGATAGATGAGATAGATAGATAGATAGATAGATAGATAGATAGATAGATAATACTTATTCTAATTCTCAAAGCACTTTTTACAGGGCATATGTAAAACCCTCAGCAAACAGCTGTTAAATTCAATGATTAAATCTGTTTGGTAACTGTTGACTTCATGATATTTCTAAACATTTTCTCTACTGAATGCATGCATTGTATTATGATTCCACCGTGTGGTGGACAGAAAACAGGGAATTTAGTGTCAGCTGAGCTGAGTTTACTGGAAAAGTCACCTAAACTCTGCTCTTCTGTTTCTCTACTTGTAAAATGGAAACATTAACAAGAGCAATAACAAAAATAAATATCTACCCATCATAAAGGGAAGACAGTGCAATCCAATGGGATAACGTAGGTGAATGAGTTTTGCAAATTGGAAAGCAAATCTTAGCCGTTCCATTTGCCTATTTAAAAAATGCAACTGATGTTGCAAGACTGTGTACAGCAACAACAGTTAGCTGGCTTTTTCTGAGAACAGCTGTTAGGCAGAAAAGAAAGGAGGTGAGGAAAAGAATCTCAAGCACAACTTGCCAAACATGCCCTAGTCATCAATCAAAGAACACGTTCGACACTCGCGGTGCGGAGAGATTACCAGACACCTGTCACCTACACCCTTCGGCACTGCTGCCAGTATCTCTGAAACCAGGAGAACGCTTACCAGACACGAGCTGCTGTCCAGGCAACCCCACGGGAACCATGCCCAGGTTATTCATGGCTGTAGCCCAGGCTGTCGGATCTGTCACGGACATGTTGAGCTGGGTCGTGTCTATCGCTATACTCCCCAAACCATCAGCTGCTGTGGGGAGAAACAAACCATGATTTAGAGTCCACAGGCAAGGGCGTTTGTCTGAAAGAAAATCACATTTCTAGAGAATGAGGCTTCATTTAGCACATTCCCAAACTACAAAAAAATAAAGAACTATAATCTACAGCAATGTTTTCTCCAGACTTAAACATAAAGCGTTTCCAAATACTTTCTGGGAGAAAACTTAATGACATGTAGTTTATATGATACACAGTATGCTATTAAGGAGGTACCCCTGGAAAAAACTGAAGAATTGTTTCCTTCTCCCAGTGAAACAACCTTAGTTAAGTCACAAGGCTGAGCTGCAAAACAGCAATACTCTCTTGGTAAACAAGTTAACTGGCTTACTGTTTCCAGGTGTAATTCTTGAGCAGAAAGGCCTTCTAATAAGAAAACAGCTGTCAGGCAGTGAAACTGGTCCTGACCGAATTTATTACCTCATAACATATTCCTTCCTTTATAAACCTTTACATTATTACATTAAGAAAATGCAAGTGTCCACCTAAAGTGACTTTTCCGAAGTATTTCTAAATAAATAAATAAAATTTAAAAACAAGTAGCATACAGCTTAAAGAACCCAAAGCAGAAGAATGTGTCAAATTTGACTTAATTCTCTTTCATTTTCACTAGTTCTACAGCCTGATTTCTTTAAGGGCCCAGGCTCCTGGTTTAATGCACATTTTTCAAGGCAGGGCAAGCTTTTCCGCTAAGAACTCAAGAAAGCCTTGTTTGCTTCCTTTGCTGCCCACGGGCATTTACCTGCAGCCATCATCTGAGGAAGCTCCAGGGGAAGCTGCGTGATGTTCTCAACTCCACCTGCATCTACCATTGAATTATGAGCATCCAGGTGGGTAGGAGCACTTTGATGGCTGAGTGCAGGGTCCCCTCGGAGGTCATCGGGTTCTGCAAAAGGGGACAGAAGTGTAGTGAGAAACCCTAATAGTTAACTGAGAAAAAACGTCAAGGAACAAACTGTTACCTATTCAAAACAAAAAAACAAGGACCGATATCCAGTTTCGGGCACAGAAGAACAGCTGCTTCCCATCCCTCAGCGGCTGTCTTTTTTTTTTTTTTTTTTTGAGATGGAGTTTCGCTCTTGTTATCCAGGCTGGAGTGCAATGGCGCGATCTCGGCTCACGGCAACCTCCGCCTCCTGGGTTCAGGCAATTCTCCTGCCTCAGCCTCCTGAGTAGCTGGGATTACAGGCACGCGCCACCATGCCCAGCTAACTTTTTTGTATATTTTTTAGTAGAGATGGGGTTTCACCATGTTGACCAGGATGGTCTCGATCTCTTGACCTCGTGATCCACCCACCTCGGCCTCCCAAAGTGCTGGGATTACAGGCGTGAGCCACTGCGCCCGGCCAGCGGCTGTCTTAGGGCTCAGTTTTAGAGCCCTGTGAGATGCCTGGGTCAACTCATCAACTCACCCTGAAGCCGGGGCTGGCTGAGTAAACAGCACCGTTTGTGAGGGCCTCAAAGGCCTTGCTTCCTACTGAAGCACCTTCACAAACGGGGGCTTATCAGTCCCTGCACAGCCTCCTATACACACACTACACATCAATGGAGAGGGCAGACTCAGGGCTAAAGATTTTTTTTTTAGTTAAAAAATTAATTGATGCCGTTATTTTGGAAGATGGTTGTCTGTGAAATGTATTCAGAGAGGAAAAAAAGTTGGGAGGAGGAAGAAAAGAGCAAGAATCCATTTACCATGCAGCTAGAAAGGAGGGCACCTAAGCTACAACGGGAAAGGCAAAAGAGCAGAATGGCATGCAGTCCGTGGACGGTCTGGAGGGTGTTAGCCAAGGAAGAGCATTTGTGTTTTCAGCTCATTGGAGAGATTAACCGGCCACAACTTGTTTAGTTTGAATTTTCCTTAGAAGTGCACAATATGCTGTGTGACATATATATGTAGCTTTAAAAGCACTTATAAATATAAGTAACAAACATTAAATAAAGTTACAAAGGTCTTCTCGATATCACACTATTTATAAAATGCTATGATTTCTCTCCACCCTTAGAAATGCTAAAACAAAGAGCTATCACATGTATTTTAAGTGCACTTTCACCAGTTTGAAACTTAGGTGAGTGACAGAACAACTCTGATCTTAAGTAGACTAGATCTAACTAAGTCTAAATATTTACTTTTATTTTAGTATAAATTTAGAAGCTTTTCTAAACCACGCTCCTGTTAATGATGATTTTAGAATTAGAAGTTATGGTTGGACAGTGTATCCAACATGAAGTGTGAGACTCTTATGGCATGTCTCTTTGTTTCTTTCATTCTTAGGTATAAGAATCAGTAATTCCTGAGCACTGTACAGTCAAAAATTCTTATCAGTTGAACAGAAGTTGAATTCAAAGCTCAAGGTGCAATTCTCAAGGACAGGTGAATAATGAGCAAAAAGTTTCTATAGTCTCAACAAGTCCCTAGTCCTCAACTAGAGGGGTAAGTAAGATAGTATGGAAATGTTTTCCAATTGCCTGTCGGGAAGATGAATCATCATCATCATCACCCAGCAGTGAATGATTTTTGGAGCAAATCATTTTTGAATCTTTGGGAGCAAATTGTACTGAGAAGGTATATTTTATTCCCACTATACCCTACTGTCCAGATGAATCAGAACCTGCATATGTATCGTGCATCGATTATCCTAGGAAATGGGTGCCAACAGACAAAGAGATTCTTACCATGGAAAAATAAATTCAATAGCATAAGAAACGCGTACCTAACCTAAATGTCTGGTCCGTAGGCTGTCCATTCACCAGTGATCTTTCTATGATGAAATCTCCAAGCACTTTCTCTCTCCACTTCAACCATTTCAGAGCAGCAAGGCAGAGTCAGGCTAGAATGTGTTCATTCTTTTGTTCAAATGGCCCTATAGCTGTTTCAGATCTTTGCAAGGTCACGATTTGTCTTACTTACCTCCCCAAATGAAGTTTAGTTGGCTGGCTTCCTTCTGCCTCAGATTCTTCCCAAATGGGCATTAATCACACATTTTTTTTTCTCTCTAATGAGTCTGCAGTTCTGAAACACTATATCAGAGAACATCCCTCTACTTTGTAGGCTTATGACTCGTGCCTGACCCATCGCATTTCACCTTGACTTTTCGCTGCAGTGTTTTAGGGAGGGCTTTAGTTTTTCCTGGCTCTGTAACAGTCTTTTCCAACGGCCATTTCACCTTAGTGCCTACAGTCCTATAAAGGGGCATCCGGTGTCCTGGAGACCCATAGTTTCTACCTAACATTTTCACGGCCATCTTAACAAACTGCAAGTGTTTCACGGAAAACAGAAACACACTGATACTGTTCCACTGGAAAAAAAGCATTGTTCTGTTGGAAAGATGAGGCGTGTAAACCTGGATTTATCCCCCCATCGAACTCTTGTGACATTCAATTGATTACATCTCTTCAGTCTCCCAATCCAATGGTTTTAATGACATACAACTTTGTGTGGCTACCACGTGCCTGGGATGGTGATTCTAAAGTAAGTTCCATCACATCTTAGGAATTTCCAATAGTCTCAAGGCTGCCATTGTGACTTTGTTTACAAAATTTAAATTAATTCGATCACTCATTTTGGAAGAAAGGTAATACTTTTAATTAATTACCAACTAGTGATTGATGCATAGTTGCAAGAATGATTTTTGTACTTCGTTACCATCTACTGTTCCTGTTGAATACCTGCCTCTTTAAATGATTCAAGCCATAATGCCTAATTTATCACTCACATAAATTTCTCTGCCTTAGTTTTATTATTTCTAAACTATAGAAAAGTTTAATATTCTTAGTGATGTTTATTTACACACAGAGAGGTGGGGAGTTAAAAATGATAGCTAATAAAGCACTCTGAATACCGTAGGTGATAATTATTTTTATTTTATTTGGAAATGTAGTGTTTCCATTAAGGTACCCTGGGATCTCTGTGTTGTGGTAGATAATTATGTAATTAATTCTAAAACAGTGAATAACACTTGATATTTCTAAAAGTAAGTGTTGCCCTAGTTTTCTGTGCCACACCTCAGTTGTAGCACAATATTTCATTTTCCACCATTCCTTTATAAAATAATATGATGGGGGTCAGGTGCAGTGGCTCACGCCTGTAATCCCAGCACTTTGGGAGGCTGAGGCAGGTGTATCACCTGAGGTCAGGAATTTGAGACCAGCCTGAACAAAATGATGAAACCCTGTCTCTACTAAAAAGAGAAAAATTAGCTGGCTGTGGTGGCACATACCTGTAGTCCCAGCTACCCAGGAGATGGAGACAGGAGAATTGCTTGAACCCAAGAGGCAGAGGTTGCAGTGGGCCGAGATCGTACCACTGCATTCCAGCCTAAGTGACAAAGCCAGACTCTGTCTCAAAAACATAAAAATAAATAAATAATGTAATGTAACTTAAAAGATATATAATTGTTTTCTCTCTAGGCCTTTTCTGCAACTACAAAAACTTTCAAGAGATTCATGACCAATTATGAAATTGGCAGTTTGTACTTACAGCTTTTAATGAAGTCAGAGCACCACAAAACAACCTGATGTGCAAAATAGCAAGGATAAAAGTACAGCTTTGTTTGGGCTTAATGGATATCTAACATGTTTCCTGTTAAGATCTAGTCAAGTATAAAATATCATACCAATTTCATAACTGTTCAACAAAATATATTTATGCTCAGTATTTCACTGGGCTATATAATGGGGCAAATAGTTTTTGAAACTTACCAAGTCTAGGAAAATACTATTTGGCTTAAAAAATTGCACAGGATACTCCCACTATTAATAATAGAACTTCTTCTAACCCTCTTCAATTTCAACAGGTTCCAGGGATACACACATCATGAATATAAGTAACTGTCCACAAAACACAGATTCCTATTACAGGAGGGTAGAGATCAGCTAGGTATTGAAAATCCTTCTTATTGAAAAAAAGAAATGGCTAGGTGTGGTGACTCATATACATAATCCCAAATATGAGCTCCTGTTTGGAATCCACTTTGGGAGACCAAGGTGGAGGGATTGCTTGAACCCAGGAGTTAGAGACCAGGCTGGACAACATTGAGCGACTTTGTCTCTACGATAACCTTAAAAAATTAGACAAGCATGGTAGTGCCCTCCTATAGTCCTAGCTGCTCAGGAGGCTGGGGTGGGAGAACTGCTTGAGCTAGGGAGTGGGGCTGCAGAGGTTGCAGTGAGCCGAGATGGAGACACTGCACTTCTAGCCTGGGCAAGAGTGAGACCCTGTCTTAAAAAAGACAAAACAAAACAAAAGCATGATTTGGTTTGATCTAGGTCTTCAGGTTTATACCTACTTCAGTAACAAAATAATTACAGTGAAAGAATCATATTTGTTAATGTCTTGTAAAGAGTTGATACCAGGCCAGGCACAGTGGCTCATGCCTGTAATCCCAACACTTTGGGAGGCTGAGGCAGGTGGATCACTCGAGGCCAGGATTTAAGACCAACTTGGCCAACCTGGCAAAACCCTGTCTCTACTAAAAATACAAAAATTAGCCAGGTGTAGTGATGTGCACCTGTAGTCCCAGATACCTGGATGGCTGAGGCAGGAGAATGGCTTCAAGCTGGGAGGCGAAGGTTGCAGTGAGCTGAGATCGAGCCACTGCACTACAGCCTAGGCAATAAAGTGAGACTCCATCTCAAAAAGAAAAAAAAAAGCAAAAACCAAATAGAGTTGATACCAAAGGAAGCTTATTTCCTATGGTATCTGCAACTTTCTTATTTTATAAGAACTCTTCATTAGCATTATCATGGTATATATTTATAGTAAAAATAAAGATACATTTCCATCCAAAATTCACTCTCCTATTCCATCACTAAGGAAACACTGAATTTTGATCTTCACATAGTCAGCACCATACTCTCTTGAGGTTACAGAAATATTCCACAGTTTAA